CTCTCAACGTGTTACCTAAGTACGTCGTCGATCGAGGATCCCGATAGTTGCAATAAACTATATTTGATTCGTCATCAAATATTACAGTTGCTTTTCTTTCACTTTTATTTTTATTCAACCTTGAACTTGTATTTATATTTGTACTGGCATTTGTTTTTGTACTCGTATCGCGATACTTTTTGTGGATTTTGTTAAACGTTATTTCATCAACAAACTGAAGCTCTGTGTAACGCTCAGGCATCTTCAAAAGTTCTACCATACCAGGGTGATCAGGCCTAGCACTCGGCAACCTTTCGGACGAATTCTGTTCGTTTTGTAGCGCTTTCGTTTGACCTCGGGTGGTTACAAAAATTTTTTGGTTAATATCGTTAGATAAACTGACCAAATCTTTCGAATGTATTTCTACACGAGATAATGCGTCCGCTACAACATTGTCTTTTCCTTTCACGTGTGTTACGGTAAAATCGTATTCTTCTAATTTCAATCTGAATTTTGTTAATCGACTTGAAGGGTTATTCATGCCAAATAAATAGACTAAAGGCCGATGATCGGTGAAAATTTGGAAATGTCTACCAAATAAATATGGCCTAAAACGAGTAACAGCCCAGACAATAGCTAATAACTCTTTCTCTATTGTACAATATCTCTGCTCCGCATTATTCAAAACTCTACTAGCAAATGCGACTGGTCTACCGTTGCTATTACACAAAACTGCACCTACAGCAAATTTTGACGCGTCGGTCCATAATTTGAATTTATTATTTTTAGTAAAATCTGGAAAATCTAAAATAGGTGGATTAATCAGAGCTGTTTTGAGTATTTCGAAAGCCTGTTGGCATTCTTCAGACCATTCGAATTTAACTCCTTTTTTGGATAAATTATTTAATGGCTTTGCAATTTCTGCAAAATTTTTTATGAATTTACGATAATAATTTGCAAACGCTACGAATCGCTTCGTCTCACTGGAATCCTTCGGTACGGGATACGCCCGCATAACACGTACCTTCTCGGGATCTGGAGAGACTCCCTCAACCGAAATTAAATGACCCAAATATAAAATTTCTTTTTTCAAAAATTCGCACTTTGCTGGATTTAACTTTAAATTTACTTTCCTCAAACGATCTAAAACTTTGATTAAATTTTTGTTATGATTTTGAAGATTATTTCCGAAAACAATAAGATCATCAAGATAAATGAAGCAGTTTTGGTAATTCAATCCTGACATAGCAATCGTCATGGCACGTGAAAATGAATTTGGACTAATTTTCAATCCCATTGGCAATCTAGTCATTTGATATTGCCCTCGATCTGTTGTAAAGGCAGTACACGGCCTCGAATCTGGATCCAACTCAACTTGATAGTATCCTTGATACAAATCCAGATGAGTGAAATAAATGGCACCCGACAAAGCATCTAATATTTCTTCAATGCATGGCAACGGAAATCTATCATGTTCGATTTTTTTATTAAGCTGTCTATAATCAATAACAATCCTCCATTTTTTATTACCCGTGGGATCGCATTTTTTCGGTACTATCAGAAGTGGAGCTGACCACTCTGAACTAGCTGGTGCAATCAGCCCTTGCTCTAGCATTTTATTAACTTGTCTACCTATCTCTGTTTTTTGAGAATATGGCAACCGATAAGGCTTAATATACGTTGGCCCAGTTCCGTCTTTAATTTTTATAGCTTGTTTATAAACATTCGTAACAGTACACTGATCGCCTTCTAAATACAAAACATCAGCATATTTTGCACAAATCTTTTCAATGTCTGTTTTCTCTTCCGATGTTAACATGTCATATTTGATTTGCCCTAAGACTTCGTCTACTCGCTTTACAGATAAAGGTACTTCTTCGAATGCAACACACTCATAATTCACGAATTTATCTACTTTTGGCCTAAAATTTCTCAAAATTACTTCGCTTTCATTCGTATTCAAGATTCTAATAGGTACTTCCTTCGATTTTCCCGGTTTGACTACTGCACTCGCAACAAAAACTCCCTTACAAACTTCTTCCGGTTATATCACACATTCTTCCTTGCATTCAATTTCTACATATTGTATTGTTTCACATCTAGAAGGAATTTTAGTTATTTTGTTAAATTTTGACTCTAAACTCACACATATTCTACCTGTTCCATTACTCAAGTAAAGCAAAAAATTTTCGTAATCTATCATAGCTCCATGTTTAGCTAAGAAATCTGCTCCTATTACTCCATCCATTTCACACTCACACTCATTCATTACATGAAACTTATGCGTCAACACTTCCTTACCTACCTCAATGTCAATGTCAGCGGTTCCTACTGTGTAAGTAGTACCTGCTATACCGGCAATTTTTATTTTTGTACTTTCATCTACCCATTCATCTCCTGTCAAACTACTCCTAAAAATTATACTCAAAGATGCTCCTGTGTCTACCAACAATCTCAGTTCACTCATTCCATATCTCACTTTTACAAAATTTAGCCCATTCATACTAAGCACAACTTCATCATTCTCATTAGAAGTCCCGAAAAAACTGCAATCTACTTTGTTCCGACTGATTCTCATCTGCAGATCCTACCTCTTGTACTTTTTTCTCAATTATTGGGTAAGCCTGACCTAATTGTCGCGAATGTGACGCAGCATATGACCCACGACCACGGCTATCACCACTACGCTGACGATGCGAATTTCTGAAATTATTTCTTCCGCGTGTTTGACCTCGATTTTGTTCAAAATAAACATTTCGATTTCCATCATTATTTCCAAAATGAAAACTACCCCGGAAATTTCTTTGCCTATTTCCGAAACTATTTCGACCACGCGTATTTTGTCCTCGCACATTCTGATCTCGCGTATAGAATACTTGTTCCGAATTTTTGACGAAATTTGACTCTTCAACCGCACCATTGATAGCTTCTGCAAGAGTCGAAAATCCCCGCGCTCTGGTGATTAGGCGAAGATTTTCGTCTCGCAACCCATTGGCAAATGCCGAAATCGCCAATTTTTCATTGGTATTTGCTAAAATGCCGCTCGCGGTATCATTTCCATCTGCCTGTGCAATTGTTAAATTTAACATTAGTTCTTCAATATCACGACCAAAGTCTTGTATCGATTTATTGCGTTGTTTGGCTGAAAAAAGTTGCATCGATAAACCCGATATAGATTTTTTCGCGATAAGTTTTTCTCTCATATCTTTTGTTAACTCTGAATTTGACGGATACGTTTTGTTTAATCGCAACTTTGCACTTTGTGACAACTTAGTTTTTAGCACGTACATAGTTAATAATGGTTTCCCTGCGTTCTCTAACATTGAATCATATAACTCAATACCTTCGATGAGTCGTAGTGTTACCTCTTCCGAATTATCCATATGTGGCAACAAGCCAGAGGCAACTTTCAAATCAAATTTTTCAGTCATATTTACTGAATTTTTCGCACTAGTGTTTTCCAACCTAATATTAGCTAACCAACCTATCCTTCAAAATACTGTCTATCTCCTAAAAATTATTCCTAATTTACCCTTTGTACTTAGTTAATCTACTTGCGCACATAGCAAAACAAAAATTTTTCGCTTACTAGTTTTAAACGCGGTCTTCTCCCAGGTCGACTCTACTCTTGACGATTTCCCTGCGAATCCTCTTTTCCAATTTTCTCTTGCATCTTAAATAGATGAGGAACGCCACCATCGCCACCAATCCAAGAAACGTCACGATCCCCAATATCTCGAACGTCGAAATTGTCGCAGTAGCTGAAACGCCACCACTGTTTCCTGCTTGCACGACGATGTTCTCTTCTTCTGTACCGTCTTTAGACACGGTTTTCCCCATGTTGTCAATTTTTCAAAATACGAACCGCCAGCTACTTTTATGGTACCAAGTTTTCAACCAGTTTTCCAAATCCAGGAGTTAGCAGGATCGCCATGTGATAATCCCTGTTTACCATGAATCCCCTGATGGGTGGTTACCAGGGTGGAAACATACTAACAACTCACTTTCACATCTTTATTTCACTGTTCTTTACTACACTAACAATAACTACTTCTATCACTTTACTTCTGCTTCTCCTTCTCCCAATTCATACACACGCCTTAAATAAACTAAATATTGCTAACTCTACTATTTCATTAACCTAAACATTATGCCACCTGATTTCGCCAGAGGGATGTACGGAAGTTGGCAGTTTGTTAACATTGCAACATTTTGTTTGTGTTTTCGACACTACCGCATTCCTTACATGGGGCACTGAGCAAGAAGTGGCGTTCACCGACCTAAAAGAAAAACTCACAACGGCCCCCATATTACGTCAAGCCCACCCTGCACTTCCTTACACGTTGAAAACCGACGCAAGTTCTTACGCGTTGGGTGCATGCCTGTTGCAGGGTGAGGGCGCGGATGAGAGGCCCGTAGAATATGCAAGCCGTCTTCTGACACAGGCAGAACGTAACTACAGCACGACTGAGAGGGAAGCTCTAGCCATTGTCTACGCGGTACAAAAGTTCCGCGGCTACTTGGAGGGCGCGAAAGTGCGGGTGGCTTCTGATCACCGGCCACTTCGTTGGCTGATGACCCTCCGTTCGCCGGCTGGGAGGCTAGCGCGGTGGGCGCTCCTACTACAAAGCTATGATTTGACGATTGATTTTATTCCAGGCAGGAGCAATGTGGTCGCCGATACGTTATCACGACCACCAGGTGTCGACGAAGCCCTACAAGCCTGTCTCGTTAGCATCGACTTACCCACCGCTTCTCAACGAGGTATCCGTGAGGAGCAGCTGGAGGACCCAGACGTGGCAAACGTCATTTCTGCCTTCGAAAGTGTCGACGGCGACCTGTCACCATGGACCGACAGGGGGTACACCATGAATGATGGAGTGCTCTACCGCTACTCTCCGGATGAGGAAACAGATGAACCGCAACTGGTGTTGCCGCAGTCGAAGGTTGCCGAGATATTGAGGGAGTTTCATGACTCGCCCATGGCGGGCCACCCAGGTGTATAGAGGACGCTCGCGAAGATGTCGCAGAGGTATTACTGGTCCACCATGCGTCGCGACGTCCGGAAGCATGTGCAGCAATGCCTGGAGTGTCAGCGTTACAAATGCAGCAACCTGAAACCCGCAGGTTTGCTGAAGACGCCGGTCATGGCCCAGCGCTTCGAGGTTCTGGCGATGGATCTCTTTGGACCGCTGCCACCCACCGACCAGGGGGAGAGATGGGTGTTCGCAATCGAAGACACCGCCACCAGGTGGATGTGCGAAATGCTTGGTGGATGAGGTAATCTTGCGATATGGCACGCCGCGGAGGGTTATCAGCGACAATGGTCCGCAGTTCGTGAGCGACATCTTGCAAAAGGTGTCGTACTGCCTCGGATTCGAGCAGAACCTGACCCCTGTGTATCACCCGTCGTCCAACCCGGAGGAAAGCAGAAACCGCGATTTGAAGACACAGCTGGCGATAATCGTGGAAAAGGAGCATACAAAGTGGAGTACTGCTTTGCCCGCAGTGCGCTTCGTGATGGACAGTGCTCTCCATTTAGGTGTCGATCAAAGCCCCGCGTACTTGTGCTTTGGTCGCGAATTAAGGACACCCCTGGAGGTGCACGATGACCTGCGTGCGGTGGTCGAGAGTGAGAACTTTGTCGCGGAAATAACTCCGTATTTGCAGACAATTTCCGAAACACTAAAGTGCGCGGGCGAAACCTCCGAAAGGAACCAGGACCGCGCCAAACTTTACGCGGACCCAAAACGTCGGCCCGGTCCCACTTACAAGAAGGGCGACCGTGTGCTCGTCGATGTACATGCCCTGAGCAAGGCCGACAGCCACTATAGCAGCAAATTCGCCCCGAGACATCGAGAGAGGTATCCCCGGTCACCTACGTCGTGGCCTCACCCAACAAACTGGACGAACCCCTGGGGAAGTATCACACTTCAGCCCTGCGCCCCTAAGAAAAAGGTGCCCGTGAGTCAGTTATGCCGCTGGTGCCCCTCAGAAGACGTGGACGTCCAAGGAAGAACCTGAGGAGGTCCCGTTCCCGGAGTCGCCACAGAATCCGATAGAGCCTACGCCTTCCCAGCCTGGAACGCACCGCCGCCGCCAGGGTAGGAAGCCTTGCTCGGCGCCGTGCTGCGGCTAACTTTATTATAGGTTTTGGATTCCTCCTGGGGGCAGTGAGCGGAATCCAAAAGGGGAGTGTAACGCGAGGCCGCTAGATGGCGCTATCAGAGTATCACCCCACTGGCGGAACTACCCTCGTACTTTCTTCTTCCCTGAGTCGCGGATGCGGACGGCCGTGTTTTACATTGCGTTCATATTATTTTAAAGTTTTATACATTTATTATCAGTTTTGTGAATAAAGTTTTCGTAGAAAGAAAAGTGTTTTCTTGGCCGTGGCGAAAAAGTAATCGTCGCGTAACAGTTGGAAGTTTCAATTATATTTAAGTATGTATTATTGTTATAAGACTAATACAGGTAAAGTTGTTTGCAAAATTAAAGGATTTACATTAAACTATGAAACGTCCGAAAAAAATTATTCCGATAGTATAAATAATATTTTAGAAAACAAAGATAGAAAAATCAGTACACAATATAATCGAATTACCAGAGATACCAAAACTAAAGAACTTTTAAATAAAATAGAAACAAAGGAATTTGGTTTTGTTTATGACAAGAGAGTTATTCTAGAAAACTTTGATACAATACCGTTTGGATATTAATTAGACAAAAAAACAAATTAAAGTAGAATACTCAAGTGATGCAACTTAATATCTCCCTTATTAAACATTATTAAAAAATATTTCGGTTATGTACATGGAAGGTAACATAATTATAAATTTGAAAGAGACAGTTTGTTGCATATCAAATGATGAAGGTGAAGAAGTTGGATTGTTGCGAAAAATTGCTGTCACAGTGTCACAAAGTTATCTCCAGAAGAAGTGAAAGAACATGTGCATAAATTCTTAAAATGGTTATGAAATGGCATATTATTGTACTTTTTTAAAAACAAAGCAATTTCATAGGAATATTATTTATCAACATAAAAGCTGCCCGATTTGATTTTACTGGATCCAACATATTCAACTATTTATACATATAAGTGCGCGCGTCTCTTGTTGGGACTTGGGACACATTTCATTTTCGTGAACTGTCACTGTGGTGCAAATTCGACAGAAGGTTATGGTTTTTATAAATAAAATGGATATGAAAAAGTTGATAAGGGATTTTCGTCATTTACAACGTGATCGTCAGCAGGCGAAATTAGTGAAGAACAAGATGGTAGACCAAGCGGGTGCCGACCAAGCTGTTAACCGGCTATTTCGTAAAAAAACGGCCCCTGATCAACGTGTGTTGAACGAACAATTAGACGTGACCGTGAAGGTGCACCAGGGTGCTAATCTGGTGTATTTAGACCGAAATAGAAAAGGTTTTTTTGCTCTGTATGATACGGACATTGAAACGTACGATAGTGGTGAACCAGAACCGGGTGAGCAGAATCAATTACCATCTCAAATAGCAACGTTGACACTTTACGAAGGAAGAGAAACTTTAACATTGGTGTGTGATAGCTTATTAGAAAAACGGAACTTCATAACGACTCTAATTCAATTTTTAGAGTCGAGGAGAGAAAATACATAATATATAATAAGTTTTATTCATTGTATTTTATTCTTTTTGTAGCAGAGAAACCTCCACCTCCTCAGATTCAGGAACATCATCAATGTCAATGCCAAATTAAAATAAATTATAAATAAAAGCGTTAAGTAAAATCAGTTGTTGATAATTCTTTTTTCTAACGGTCTATTCTATTGTCTCTGAAGCATAAATGTTCAAAATTAAAAACGAGAATATCGCATATAATGATAATTTATTAATAACCACAGTTTTTCCATCATTTTTTTCTAATCGTTATCTAGATGAGTTTGTATAGCATGCCTGCTGCCTTATAAAGCAGGACAGGACTGTGAATTCGCTTCGCTCATGAGGCTTGTTCGAATTTGCTTGCCCAAAACCGTATTAATTTTTGTGCTGAACAGAAAAACAGTAAATTTCTTAAAATTTTGACTTAAAAAAAGTACTTTGAGCAACATAGTATATTTGCTAAAAAAAAGATATGTGCTGAGGGGCCTAACAGGAAAAAAGTCTTTAACACAAGGCAAAATTCTAAATTTTGAGTGTTTTTGACAGGGAAATTTGTTTGGACGAAACCCTATTCTTGTTTGGAAAAACGGTGTATTTTCCTTGAAATGTTGACTTTTTTGAAAAGGGTACGTTTGGAAAAACTTTAAAAAAAAGTCAACATTTCAAAAGTTACCTTGAAAACCAAAGTAAAAGCATTAAAACGTGTTGCGTTCTAAAAGGGCCATATTAGTAGTCATTTCAGAGGGCGGCCCTGGAAGAAACCATTGGAGACATCAAAGAAATGAAAGCGGATATGAATTCTGGGACCCGAAATCTACAAGAAAATGTATTTAGTAAAATTTCGAAAATTTTGTTGAAAATTGGCCCAAAAATTGGTGGTATTTTGCACATTTTTCTACATTTCAAAGGGCGATTTTGGAAGAACCATTGGAGATATAAAAGAAATGAAAGCGGATATGCCTTTTGGGGCCCGAAATCTACAAGAAAATGTATTTAGTAAAATTTCGAAAATTTTGTTGAAAATTGGTCCACGAATTGGTATTTTGCTCATATTTTTACATTTCACTACTAATATGGCCCCTTTAGAACACAACACGTTTTAATGCTTTTAGTCTGGTTTTCAAGGTAACTTTTGAAATGTTGACTGTTTTTAAAAGTTTTTCCAAACGTACCCTTTTCAAAAAAGTCAACATTTCAAGAAAAATACACCGTTTTTCCAAACAAGAATACGGTTTCGTCCAAACAAATTTCCCTTTCAAAAACATTTAAAATTCGTCTTTTTCCCCCTGTTTTTCTGTTGGGCTACTTCAGAACAAAAATGAATACGGTTTCGGCCAAGAAAAGTTACCATTTAAAAACACTTAAAATTCACCTTTTAAAAACACATTTAATTTTAAGGCTTTTGAAAAGACTTTGTTTTTTTTAATCATTTTGCCCTGTTTTTCAAGATAACTTTAATAAAGTTAAATTTTTGAGAAATTTATCGTTTTTCCAAACGTACCCTTTTCAAAAAAGTCAACATTTCAAGGAAAATACACCGTTTTTCCAAGCGAGAATACGGTTTCGTCCAAAATGAAGATAAAATTTATTTAAAAGAATTATGTGAGTTGGAAAATTCGGGCGAAGTCCTCATGAGCGAAGCGAATTTGCTGTATACCGAAACGGTATACACTCTAGAAAATGGCCAAGTCTTTAAAGTCATTTAAAAAATATAGGAGTACATATACATATTTCAAGTATAAATTCCTTCAGTTAATGAAACTATGAAAATGTGTAGCATACAGCATACCTTAGGTGAATCACAGAAGATTAATTAGTTTTATTATTTGATCGATAAGCCCACATTTCAATCTGAAAACTGTCAAGTCAAATTTATCAGATTTAACTAAAGTATTCGAAATATCATCAAATTCATAATACATTTTATCTTTAAAAAAATACAAATTTCTATATCTGAATGCTCCGCTTATATTTGGAGGTATTCCAGCAAATAATTCTGAAATAAGGCCATTTTTCTTTGATCTAACCAAACACCCATCAAACTCAATGTACAAGACTTTATCATGAAATATATATGTTTTTCCAGAATAAGTTCTAAATATTATCTAAATTCTTTTTCCTTTTGGTATTCCTAAATTTTCAATAGATCGAGCATTATATCCACTTTTAAGATTAAAACTTGGAAAATCAATTAAATAATATAAATTTTTAACAACTATTAAAACATCACCTGAAGGTCTTTGATAAATATGTGAAATTTCTTGAAAATTATCTGGCAAAAAATATAAATAATCTTTAAGTAATTTTGGTTCTTTATCATAAGTCATTTCTTTTAAATTGACTAACCAAACATATTTCTTATAAAAAATATACATATGATGATTTGCAATTAAGAATGTATCAATACTTTATTAAAATCACATAAATTACCGAATATACCTTCGACATCGGCTTAACCTCTAGGATGGCCTTCAGGGACGCTTTGCCTTACAGTAGGTTTAACTGTTGTTGTTGTTGTTACAGCGCCACCTGTGTGTCGTGCTGCGAGTCCTGGCTCGCGACGGTACCGCCGCCTACAACACGGCACTTCCTGCCGCCATATTATTTTAGTAGCACTTCGTTCGTAACCGCCTCGGAACAATGTTTATACCGCGTCGGGTGATACATATCTCATGTACTCTTTATTTAATATACATATTATTAGCTCTTGTTCCCATGTTTTATCTTGCTCGAACCTCACGGTCTCTTAACAGGTTATGGGCCCAGAGCACGTGTGATTGAAATCGCGAGTGAGTTAAAGTGTGTAGTTCGGGAAGCGTGGGTACGGCGGCCATGATGAATGGTGATAACGCGTCTCGTATCAAACTTCTCGGGGAAGAGAACTACGATACATGGAGGCTGCAGGTGCAGCCCTTGCTTATCAAGAGCGATTTGTGGGACTACGCCAGCGGTGCGTGCGAGAAGCCTATCGCGGGAGAAAATAACGGAAACGTGGCAGCCGTGAACACGTGGGTGAAAAATGACCTGAAAGCGAAGTCGGACATAATTCTATCAATCAGCAGCAGCGAGTTGAAGCAAGTCAAGAACTGCGTAACGTCGCGGGACATGTGGCTGCGATTAGAAGAAATCTACCAATCCAAAGGGCCGGCAAGAAAAGCGACGCTGTTGAAAAGCCAAATCCTGTGCAGGATGGCAGACAGCGGTGACCTGCGCGAGCACCTGAATGAGTTTTTCGACTCAGTGGACAAACTCAACAATATGGACGTCGTCATCAACCCAGATTTGCTGACAATCCTTCTGCTATACAGCTTACCGAGCAGTTTCGACGTTTTTCGCTGCGCCATCGAATCGCGGGATGATCTACCGACGCCGGAAGCGCTCCGCATCAAGGTCATTGCGGAGACCGACGCGCGCAGAGGCAGCGCGCGCGGTAGCAGCGCGCGCAGTGACGCGTCCAGCGCGATGATGGCAAACCGTGATGGTGGACGACGCGAGAATTGGAGAGGCGAAACAAACAAGACCCACAACGGAAAACAACGTAAAGACGCCCCAGTACTTCGATGCTTCAAATGCC